CCCGTATAAAATAAATAAATTAACCGGACAATGGGTCAAAAAAGATGACTGTCCCGTATAATACAGGACGGATGGTCACCGTATTCATATCTTAACCAAAACCATGTAAATCAAACATTCTTACTTTATACAGAATTTAGAAAAATTCAAACATCATTCAAACAAATTTTATCCGCTTAAAACTTGAACTTTTTCCTAAAATTCTATAAGCTATGTAACTGCATATCCAAAAATTGTCTAAAGACTCCGATTAAAAGTTCAAAATTTTGATAAAAATCGGTGGATTTTTCTAATATCTTTGTAAAGTTTGAAAGTTTGATTTATATGGGTTTGGTTAATGCATGAACAATATTGCTCTAAAGAAATAACGATTTTTTTTTTAAACATTGTTAATATTTAAAAAACACCAGGGTTGCCACAGCGTCGCATTGGCGAAGGTCCACCCGCACTTACTTTATTGAGTGCACTGACTACAGCTAGTAAATATCTGCGATTATACAATAAATTGATTAGAATAATAAATTAGTTTCTCGTCTAGGGCATCACGATGAGGTGGCGGTGGCCTAAGTGTTCCTTACTCGAATGCCGTGTGGTAGCAGCCAAGATGACCTAACTTAACCCTAGACTTTGTATGTAGTTAGATGCTATCCCTGAAATATGGCAGTTAGGGTTAATGTTTGCCCGAAAAGACGCGTGGGTATTAAGTACTACCGCTTTTTGAATTAATACATGGACCTTCTGTACAAGTTTATCTTTCTATGTCGTAAATATACTAGAATATTTTTTACCAGTTGTTTTATTTATGACTCTTAGCATAAGCATTTAGAGGCTTAAAATCCTGAAGGCCAAACAGAAGTCGGTCTAATTATTTTAATTTAACCATAAACAAGTCACCCACAAACGATGATACCTATACATTTATTTAACAATTTACTTCGCTTTACATTACTCGCAGCGGTGCATTTAAGCACAATTTCGAAATTCTTAAGTGCATATGCATATAGTAGATATGTATGCAAGTATAAGTTCGCATGTTGAAATGATTTAATAAATACTTCGCTCTGAGTATATTTTTATGTCTGCAGCATACATTTACTACTAACATAAATACATTTCCAAATTAGCAATTCAGTTAAGAAAAATGCATCTAGTTTTTTTATTATCTTCTTCTGTTGCAAGCGTCTGAGGCAGTGGTTAAGTATGTAGAGCTATGGCTTTGCGCAGAGTTTGTTAAGCTTGGTTCCAAGTCAGTTGCCCAAAAGTTGGCAGATATATACATAGTACCTTTGCACATGTACATACATATGTACATATATGTAACTGAGTGCGCTTGAGCAGACATTTAACTAAGTACAAACCTTCCCGCTGATAGCCTTCACACTTGATTAGCAGACTTGGTTTTCAGACAAATGAAATATTTTGTCGTAGTAAATTTTGGCCTTTTATTGTTGCGGTTGTTTTTTTTATCACTTTTCGTTTCATTAAGTATATGCACATACATACATACATATTTCTGTGTGTTTAACTGCATTTGTCCGACTGACTGATGGCGCTGGCATGTCTTTGCGAATAAATGATGGATTTGATTGTTTGCTTGCCATCTGTCTGTATCCATTTCAGTGTGTCGAATGCATTTAAACTTCTGTCCGTCTGGGTGTCTGACTGAACGGTGTTCATTTGTTCGCAGTGACAGGGAAATAGCTTAGACAATTTGTTACTAATTTTATTACGAAACATTGTTGAGTTGAGTTGTTAATTGAGAAAGGAGACAAAGTTGCTAACATTGCTGCAGTTTTATGCTAATTTATATCTGTAAACAAATATTGTGCACACACATATTCAAATAGGGTGTAGAGCTTTAGCTGCAATTAGCGGCTCATTTGAGGCTTCTTTGCTAAAAAAAAACTGCATTAACGGACTTAATTTTAAATGGGGAACTTTTTTCAGCCGACGGCACTCGTGTGAATTCAGACTATTGATGTGTTCTTACAGAAGCAAATTGTGTCCTTTCCGTTGCTCCGGTGAATTTGCACCTTAACTATCCCTCTCTATGTCCTTTTCTGTTTGGATGCCGCACGGCTTTAGGCTCTTCAACGTTTTATCAATTACCCAGAAGTAATTGTTGTTCAGTTAGAATCCGTCTGAATAGAAGCGAGTAGAGTCCAGAATAGGTCCCAGAATTTCCTGGATAAATTGCTTAATGCCAGGGATCCCTACTTTAAAACCTTGTCGACGGTTGTGGATAACAGTTCGTTATTTGAGGGAGGCAGGGTGGACGATTTCTTAGATAAAGTATACAACCACTCCATACAAAAGACTGACCACAATATTTACAGCCCTGTACTGGAGAATATGTCATATTTACGTACTATTAAGCCTTTTTATGTATAAGGGCTGCTGTAGCTTTCCGCCTACGTTTTGATGTGTTTGGTGATCAATGTTATTTCTAATTCAGTAAAAATTCCAAATATTTATATCGCAAATTTTGTAATGTGAAACTTGTTTGCGTTGCTGATTTTTATTAAATAATACAGGTTTCGTTTTGCTCGGGTTTACTTCTAGGTCGTTCTCGTTGGGCCAATGATTCCTTTAAGCAGTAGGTTCCTTGCCAAGATTTATATAAGAGTTGGTAGGTTTTATTGTCGTTGTGGAATCCCCGTAGCTGCTTGGTTAGGTATAGGGCCAATGTTTGACAGAATATTCGCATTATATGAAGGGGTTATAATCAGGGACGTGAACCGGATGGAAAACTTGGTCGGTTCGGTTCAGCGGTTCAAACCATTTCAGCACTTTTGGATTGGTTCTTCAAAGCGGGTTTTTTCGTCTTTGAACCGGGGTTTCGGTTCGGTTCAACGGTTCGGAAATCAAAAAAAAAAAAAAATGAGTAAGTTTAAGTGTCAAGTGCAACAACGCGCGAGGATAAGTGTTAAGTGTCTGTCAAATGAGATGGGTTGCCAATAAATTTGATATTGTCAAATGGTATGTATTACCATATTTAACAAAAGAAAAAAATGGGTAAATTTTTTCTATTCACAATTGGTTGAAACGTACCTTTAAACGTTTATGAAAAGTGGTTCGGTTTGCGGTTCGTATCAAACATTTGTGGAAAATTTCGGTTCGGTTAATGGTTCAGTTAATTAATAGAAAAAATCGGTTTTCCGGTTCAAAACCGGTTCGGTTCAAAACCGGTTCACACCCCTGGTTAGAATCATAAGGGTCTAAGTGACATTTTTTGAAAATATAAGCTATACCCATATTTGTATTGTTAAATATAGTGTTTATTTGGTGACAAAGAGATCCAAGTCATTTCAAGTCATGAAGATGTGTTTAAGCCCTTATATCCAACTCCACCGAAGTTTCCGTACTTAAAATGGAACAATTTAATTCAACTTCTACCATTTATTCCACCTATGCATCAAGATTTTTATTTAAGTATTCCCTATGAGACAAAAGCAAACAAAGAAAAGTTCTAAGAAGCAAAGTCAAAAGATGATTATAGTTCAAGAAGAACAAACAGAATCAAATGAAGCCCACGACAGCGTTTTGCAGATTACGATGATTAGATATATATTTTAGTAGAGTTAATATTATATATTATAACTTTTTTACAAAATAAAATGTAGATTTTCATAAAAATAAGCTTTTCCATTTATTTTCTTACAGAAATATACCTAAGTAGGTACTCAGAAGTAAAAAGGATCCAAGTGACACAAAAAAAAAATATTTCAGTTTTTTCCCATCTGCAGTAAACAATCTTTGCATTGGTTAATTAACCTGCATTCAATTAGGCAAGAATCATTTCAAATGCATTTATCCAAAATTTACAATAAGTAATCAACTTTAACCTTAATTAAATTATCTCAAAACAATGTCAGACTTACTTAGGTCCTTTTGATTCAAACCCCTTCATATTAAAGACTGTCTCTAATAGCGACCGCTCTGTGCAGAAAATGGAACCAAAATTAACATCTATTTTTGGAAAGCTACAAATTGACGAGGAATCTCGAGAAACTCTTTAGAAAAATGTATTCTTTTAAATTTGTCAATTCAATAAAGTGTAATTATGAAAAAAATCAGCCCGAACCTCCATTTAGATACCTATAAATTATAGCGTTCTGCGTTGACCTATCAAATTTTGTTCGATTAAAGGCACTATATCAAATAGCTGCCATATACCAGATCTGGTTGACTTACATTTACTTCGATGTTTTTGATGCTATCGACTTGAAAATCATTTGTTTACGTAATATGGAGTTCTGAGTTGGCCTACAAATTTTTCTTTTTGAATTTTATGTTATGCCAGTTTTCTTCTTCCACATTACAAACTTACATTACTTTGTTTTAAATTTCATGTATTTTATTTTCATACACTGTTTGTACTACAAATATCCACTAAGGGATATATGAATTTACTTTATAGCAACAATATAAAAAATTTGAACTTTTGTAAAAACTTTTTAAAATTTTTCATCAATTTATTTTTTAAGCTATTTCGAGGGGTTACCATTTTTTTGAGAACCGGTACCGGTAAAATACCCTAAATACTCAGAACCGCTAATTTGTATGCATTTACATAAGTATGTGTATGTATGTAGGTATATTTCGTCAATACGTGATACATATGTATGCGAACACTTAAATATTTTTTCCTTTTGCGCCAAAATATACTTAATTTATTGCCCGAAACTCACCTGCAGAATGAAGCCGATTGAACAAATGATAAACCACGAGAAGTCTCTTATGGCATCCGCCCAACTCCAAACGCTGCTGAGGAAGGATTGCGGCACCGGCGCTGCTGCAGCTGCCAAATGCCCGTTAGGCAAATGACCATTCGAGACGCTGCCATTGGCCTGCACATTGTTGTTATTGTTCTCCATTTTCAAGCACTTTTTCAATTAAATTTGTATTTATTAAAATTTTATTTTATTTTATAGACACTTCAGTTTCATTAACGTTTGCTTAACGGCGATTTGTTCTACTAAATTTCTGGGTTGTTGCTGTTTTTTTAGTTTTTTTTTATGAATATTATCCAAATAAAATACTGCACTTTTCGGGATTTTCAGTTTTTTTCAATTGTTTCGTAAGTTCTTTGAATTACATACATATTTCATATCACTCACCGAAATTTTTCAAAAAACCAGAAAATATTAACACAAAACACAAATAACCGGAAAAATAGAATCTCAACTATTTTTTCTTGTTCACGCCTGCACGCCAAGTTTGTTCAAAATTTCGCAAGGAGTTTCGAAAATGTGACTGGCACAAATGCAGAAGAAAAACCAAAAACCAAAGTCAATTCGAAGTCAGTATCGAAAAAGAACTGTTCGACCATGTGCGTGCTTCTGGCGATGGGTGAGTGTGTGTGTCAGTGTTTGTGTCCAGGTGGGGTGGTTGTGGATTTTTACTTCGCAGACTTTTTCGAACTACATACACTGACTTCGTTGCGACCGAAGGAGCTTGTATTTTATGCAAACCGTTTGACTTTCCGCGCTACACGTCCGCTCTGCTGAGCGTAAGAAACTTTTGTGTTCACTAAATCGCATCGAGCGTCACTAGACTTCTCCGTTCGACTGGCAGCGTGCAGCTCACTTTTGTGTGGCTTTCAATTTTTCTCGACGCAACAAAAACAACAAAAGCACCAGCAGAGACGGGGATCGGTAAAAAGGCAGCCCCAAGAATCAACAAACTAAACCAAAAAAAATACAAAGCAAAAAAAGCTTAGCTGCCCGACGACCACTCTGTGCAGCTGTTGTGTTGGTCAAAGCTTAGCTCAGCTGCTCAGGTGAAGCGGCGGCGGCGGCGGCGGCGGCGGCGGCGGTAGTGGGCAAGCCAAACTCCAGCTTAAGCTGACAGTGGCTATTAGCGCAGAGCGACACAGCGCCGCGCCGCGCCGCTCCAATTAAAGCCGGATTGTGACGTCACCCGGCTGTTGTATTTCGCTTCCATTTGACTTCTGTCTCGCAGACCGCCGCACTCTGCTCTCGCCCTCTGCTTGGCTTGACTTTGTTTGTACACTTCACCGCTGTTTACTTTACTACTTCAGTTTCAATCTCAGCCACGCTTGCGGTTTACAGCTGATCGTTGCTGCTATTCGGTCTTCTTTGATTTTTGCTACTTCCAATTGCTTTCTGTTTTTCTTTGCCACACTGCCGAGCACAGCTGATCTTTGTTATTAACCGCTTCGGCTTTGCGCGCCAAAATCGTAGTGCCAGCCAGCAAGCTGCGGCGCCTGCGGTGTCTCCCTAGCTAGACCTTAAAGGTTGATTGTTTTGTATGCCATTTCCCTTTCTATCTTCAGCAGGTTTTCCTTTCATTGCTTACTTATTTACGAGCGAGCTTGGATAAGCATTTAAGTTTGCGCCGCCTTTTTCTTCGCGAGCTGATTTATTTAATTACTCAGTTACGGTTTCGTTTTCTGGTCTTTTGTTTTGCCGTTTAAGCTGGTATTTTGCCATTGTCTTTGCTTTACTTCTGGCATAATTTGTTCCGTCAGTCAAATTGTTGGCTTTTCTTTTGTTTTTGTTGTTGGCTTGATTGTGGGAAGACAGATCGCGGCGCTTGACCAACTTCCATTGTTTTGAAGTGCTTCTGCCATTGTGGTGAGTCCGCTAATTGCTATTTGTTTATTTGTTAATTGCGTACATAATTTGAAATTAATTTTTAATTGCCATGAGGAAGGAAAATGATGGATGTTAATTGTGGTTTACTGTGTTAGCTCTTATCAGTTCTCTTTGTCTTGTTTTCTTTTGCAGAGAAGAGATGCAGCTCAGAATTTCTCTCAAATGTCGTTCCTATTACCACCCCTACTAGTATAAACAATGTTGCCAGATTCACAGTTTTAGCTGTAAATTACAGTTTTTTGGCAAGCTTACATTTGTTTTTATTACCTCCTAATGTTCAGTATACAGTTGTTTTTCGAAATGTGTTGAGAGAAATATTTTTAGCTGTTCTGTTTCTGAGTCTCCTAGGCGATACAAAATGCCGCCTCTCATACTCTCGAACTAGATGATACCACTTTTACTTTCAAATGCCAAGTTTTTAGGAGCAAGAGTTATAAACCCGCCTCAACCCGTTGTCGTTGTTGTAGCGGCACTACTAAGTCCCGCCTATTTCGGTTCATCCTTCAATCATTGTCGTCAAGCTCAACAAACGGTAGGCCCATGAAACGGGCTGTTTCAATAGGGTCGGACCAAAGGGAGAGGGATGTTAGTTGAATGGGATTCAGCTGGCATGTTAGGAGGTGGTTGGTGTCGTGCGGACAGTATCCACATGCCGAACACTCATTGGGGATGTTGGGATCGGGTTTGCACAAGTAGCTGTTGAGGCGGCTACAGTATACAGACCGTAGCTGAGTCAGGGTAACGCGGGTCTCCCTTGGCAGTTGAATTTCTGTCTCTGCTACAGGTGGTGATTGGGCTCCGATCACGGCATACTATTAATAAAACAACTTTTTCTATCAGTTAGTTATTGAATTTTGCGGTATTTGAATATGCGACACCCTGAATAATAGTCGACATATCTAACTACTCGACTACGATAGTCAAAAGCTTCTCCTCATAAAAAAATATTGATAAAATGTCTTTACAAATATATATCAAAAAACCCAGAATTGGGCATTAAATGTGCTTTCTTATAAGGACTGTCCTAATAAGAGCTTTGACAAAGTTCATAGCGCCAACCTTAGCGGTTTGTACCCGAATAAGCTTTTTAACATGGATAGAAATCGGTAAGTTTATATGGTATCATAACGGGCCTATTCGGAAGCGTTGTATCCACAATTTTCGTTATCAGAGACCACAAGCGTTTCGTCTTTCGAAACGAAGAACAGATTCTAAGTGCACATAGCCCATATATAGGTAAATTTGATGTCTTGATTGCATCTGCATAAACATCGCTGTACCAACTGCAAAGAAATCCTAGATCCACCTACCGATCCTTGCAACTTCGTCTTCTTCTTTATTGGCGTTGTAACCGCCTAAACGATTTTGGTCGAGTCCAAAACAGAACGCCAGTCATTTCTCTTCTGTGCCAACTGACGCCAATTGGACTCCTTCCTCTACCTCTGTTTTTGCAACACCTCGACTAAAAATTGGTTCTGATCCCATTGTATGAGCCATAGATTCTGGTTTTCGGCTTTTGTCCACCTCCCGAAGAAATTGTTGGCTATGTCTGCTAGATAAAACAATCAGCCTTATCATGAGTTTCATTTTCCCCGAACCGGTTCACTTTTCACTCTCGGTTTCCACGGTTTTACTATGGGCGGATGACAAATTTTCGGGTGAATTTTTTTTCAGGCGAAACTCAGGATAAGGCAGTGTAAGAATCTCTGCATTATTTTCTAGCAGAGACTTTGCAAAATGTTCTACGATACTGCCCGAAAACTTTGAGTAAATATTTGGTTTAGTCTACAGAAAGCCTTATCGAACGCACACACAGAAAGCATAGCGCTGCCGATCGAAACCGGCCCGAGAGGAGTGCAGCTTTTAAATTGCTGAGGCTACATACAAATATGAACGTGTTCGTACAGCAAGCTTTTCCAGAAGCTTTGAACTTGAAAGCAAAGCGGTTATTGATTTTTGGACTGTCTATTTGATTTTTCAGCTTCATGAATAACAATGTAGGTATTTTCCGGGAAAGCAATGAAGCAAATCTCAAAATATTTTTGCCGCTTTTCGTTACAGGAAAGTTTTAAAATATCTTTGCATCCTAGTCATTGGGAAGAGCTCCGCTCTCTCTCATTCGGTGTGAACACCGCAGCTCGGCTTTCTGTGTGTACGCACGCACCCCTAGAAATACGCCTATGAGCTGAGATAGATTGAGATCTAAACAGTTTATATGCCGCTTAAACAATACGTTTACATACTTGGATTGAGTCAAAGTCCTTCGTAGTTGCACCGCGCCTTAAACTTATCCTTGTTTTCTACACAAAACGCCCCAATAGAGTTTTCTAACGCTGCCACACAAATTTCGTCAGCGTAAGCTTGAATGTTATTGACAAGATTGGCAGTATAAAGCGTTGCCGGATATTAGGTAGTGTCTTATAAAATTGACCTTGAAATATAAACCGGTTTTGCATCAAGTATGTATTCTTCCGAAAATATTTAGAATCAAAAACTGAATAAAAAATGGGTTAGCTGGAGTACCACAACAAACCAGTAATTTAGCATAAATGAGGCAGAAGGTCAGACGTACAAAAAATCTAAAATTATAGTAATGAAAAGTAGTTAACATGAAAGCAGAATTTACGGCTAGACGACAAGAATAAAGCAAAAAATGTTTTGCGATTTTTTTTTTTTGTGAGTATGAGTATATGTATAGTGTTTGACATTAAAACAGGATTTGTTTTGCTATTTTTTGTTTTGAATTGTTAGAAAATATTAATTTTGATGGCGTGTTTAAAGCTTTAAGATAAATGGTTTAATTTTATAAAGTTAGTTGAGCTCATCATTTCGAAGGTTATTATCTGGTTATTTTAAATATGAATTATAATTGGATATGTAATTTTCATCTCTATGTACATAAATATGTTAAAAAATTATACAATACTTTAATTTAACAAGTTATAAGCATTTCAGCGAAGAATTACATCGCTTAGCGCACAGTAAGGTCACGTTAGGGAATAGCTTATCCTTAACGCGTAGAATATAAGGGACAAGTGTGGGTAAAAAATCAGTTTCCATTGGCTGTGACCTCGCCGAAACTGCAATTTTTGCAAGATTTATTTGATTATAATAACGAAAAGAGGAATGACAAGTAATCGCTAAAGAAACATAGAGAAATTATAATAATTATTATTTTTTTTTTTAATTCACTCATTTGTTTTCGAAAGTGTTTATATGAAATTTTTGCATAAGTATCTTCATATATTTATACCATGTATGCACTTAGTCTGTCTTTGTCACTCTATAATCAAGTTATGCAAATCCAATCAATACCAACAAAAAATGTTGTGAATATACATATGTATGTATAAACATCGACTAGCTCATCAATACTTAAAACAAAAACACATAATTTAGTTAATTTTGAATATGCAAGCGCATTCGTTTTGGTTTTTTCGTTTGGTCTATTAGTTAAACTTGGGTATGATGCGCGTGCCGCTGTGGGTTCAAGAAACTCCTTAGCCAACACAGAGGTCAGCAGCTAGTAGAACAGCAATTATTGTAGTTTTTGTTATTAGTTGAATCATTTACTAATTTGCCATTATTTTCGTTGGCTTGTTTTGTAGAATCGTTTCTGAGTTGGTAGATACAGATGCATAAAGAACAAAAAGCAAATTAGTTTTTTTTTGCGAAGATCTACTTTTTCGCTAGTAATTATTGCATTTGTAAAGTTTTGCTTATTTTTTTTTTTGTTCTTAAACCATATAAGCAGCTACGGAATATTTTGTTGGTAAATTTTAAATAAATAGAAAAAATGACTCAGCTGTATCAACACGACAAACCGAAACCACTAAATGCACTCGCATCAAAGTCATCGTTGTTGCAGCTGGTGCCAGAAACTTCCTTCCGCAAAACTTTGAATTTTTTTACAATTTGCACAGGCCACATTTCAGCGCACCTCGGATTTGCATGTCACGATTTCTTAGAACATTTGTTGTCTTTGTGTTGAGGTGTTATTAGTACCCTGCCTGATATCTTATTAGTTTATTAAACCACTACTTAATTCTACTCCTTTTATTTCACTATTAATTCTTTTAGTTTTGCACAATTTTCTTGCATCAAAATTTTTTTAATTAATCTTCGTTGTACTTCACTTTACAATAAACTCAGCTGCAATGACAAATCTCTACAATACACTTCTATGTGACATTTAACGCGCATGCGCAGTAATTGCGTTCTGCTGTCAAGGCTGACATCTTTGTTGGTGTTCAGCAGTGTTATGGTTCAAGAGGGTTGTTTTGACGTCTTTATGGCCACTGAGTTAAGGGAGTTTACTAGTTGCAATGACTCATTGTGGAGTGCAACAAAGTAATAGCGGATACAGGGTGAGTAAACAATGAGGCAGAATTATTCCAAGCACGCACTGCATTCTAACCTAACCAAATTATGAAAAATCTTAAATCTTGCCGAACATTGGTACAACGCTTTGGCCACTACTCAAGAACACAGAATGTGCAAAGGCTTTCAAAACCGAACGATGTGCTGGTCCCCGGAATATTAACGACAGCCATTCGGAGCCATTCGTAACGAATACTTTGGCGAACACTCCAGAAAAAGCACTTCAAAATTCTGGGGGACCACTACTTCGAGAAATTCAAAAGCTTAGGGCAAACTCTAGGGCCAACCAGGATTTGCTAGAAGTACCAGATGATTTAAACATAAGTAGGGGTAGGAATGGCGAACCTAGAAACTAAGCGCTCACTTCACAACAGATGAGGATGCAGAATAGGACAGCGGTTTACCCATCATAAAGGTTGTGAGAAATATTGAGATGCCATTCAGACTAGATTAGGCATAGAACTCCGCATCCCAGTGTCATTAAGACTACGAATATGTAAGGGACAATGCTGCAGAACACGGGCCATAAGCTAAGGAATACCAGCAATGAAGAACTTACTACGTGCACCTCAAGAGCTTTGGGCCCTTGTATAGAAGACCCTGGAAACAGAACGTATAGGAAAGTATTTTTTATTATTGCGAAATGAAGTTCGTTAGACATCGCCCTATAAAATGTTGTTAAATGAATAGAGGCTACTCTTCAGAATTTCGAGGACTTTTCCTACGATCTTAAATAATGTGGCAAAATATTGAAGTAACAACGAAAGGGGTCAACCTGCACGTACGAAATGGATAAAAATAATGCTGATCTGCAGAAGAGTCTCGGGGAAAAGGAGTGTTTATGAGATTACTAAACCAGCCAACAGAAGTACGCCACAGGGCGTATACAATATGGTGGTCAACAATATGTTAAAATGGAAGTAGGATCTGTTAAGCTTACTGCTTGCGCAAATCGTGTTTTCACCATATATAGTAAGCGGGTAGTGTCTGTTCACAATCCAGTCATTATGAGCCAAGCACTGCGAGATATCCTCGCACCTTTGGGTAACTAACTACAGTTGCGATTAGTATCAACCCAGAAAATGCAAACCGGATACTTTGTAATAAAAAATATAAGCTTAAGAAATAGTATAGACTTAAAGTAGATTGACCCTTCGGCTGAAAAAAAGCATCAAGTAGTTCAGAATAATGCTCGATAGCAATGCAAAGAAGAGGAAGATATTCATGGCGGCACTCTATTCTTGGAAAAATATGTACTTATGTCAGTGCCGGGCTGCGCATGGAGTTTACTGGATTTATTTCCCTCACTAGTTCTTTATTGACTGTGCTCTCACGAGTACTGGTCTGGACATGAGCACTTAGGACTAATTCGACGGCCCAAACCTTATTACATCTTTAGCCGACAAACCCTTAAGCCAAGAATATAGAATTCAATAAAACCACCAAAGCTTAAAACTACGGACCAGTTTGCATCTGCTCCTTCGTTTACAGTAATACAACGTCAAGTATCTTTGCAGAGATCGCCTGCGTGAGTCTGTACTCTGAGATGAATGTCAGGGCCACTATTTAGATCGATTGCTGTCTTCGAGACACGATGATGACTGAACGAGGATGTAGGCGCTCCGCTTGTAAGCTGCTCGGTTATGCAAACATTTAGTTGGTTGTAATGAACACTAATCGTGTAAATGGACGAGTGCTGTTGCTATTTCGATAGTCAGACTGCGAAGAAGGCATTATTATCGTACAGTACTTCCGCAAGAAGCAGTCATAACTGAATTGTATGCCGGTATGGAGTTACGCCTGAACTGGGCAAGATCAAAAACATTTTAACTCTTAAGTGGGAGCACGCTAGACTAGTGTTTGACATACTGAATGGAAGGAGGAAACATGTTTTAAGTAGGAGGGCAGATCTTGGAGGACATCCTCTGTGCGTGCCCAGCCCTTAACAAACTGCGTTCAGTGCGCCGGAGATGACCAGTTTATGAAACTGGCAATTCATTTTGAAAATTATCCAAATCGCATAAATATTGACTTTTAAAAATAACGCCACTCTAGCGCCATTAAAGTATGGGCCAACTATGACGTTATCTATTACATTAACGAAAGCGGTCTTGAAAATTATGGGGATAATTTTTAATTTTCGACAAAAAATAACGATCTTCATATGTGAGAAAAAAGGCTTTAACGTCGTTGTGATTGTAAAAAACAACACTTGTTTCGAGTTTTACAAAAAAATTTAACGCAGTGTTGATAAAGCGAATACTGGTCCAACGTGTATTACAATTTATTGCGATTTCTTAAAAATGCCGCCATTAACTTGCTCGTCATAATTAAACACTAAACATTGTTAAACTATTTCATAAAACAACAAAATATTACACTCGAAAATGTTATTTTTACTTGCTAAATAGTACGGAAGCATATCATAAAATTCTAGTAGCGGTGATACGCCTGCGCAACGACTCATCGGCATCATTTGAACTCGCAAATTTTTTCTAACTCGTAGCAGCTTGGCCAGCTTTGTTATCGTCAGCACTCTGAAAACTTTGTTGCTTTTGTGTTCCTTTGTTATTATTTTAAATATATTTGCTAAGCAATAAACTTCCTCTTTCCTTCAACTCCGCATTCGAGGAAGTAAAATAGGTTAAACTACATAGCAACATATTTAGATATACAAAAGCCATAAACACGTCACGTCATAGCGGACAGCGGACAGCGGACAGCGGGCACGTATTACCATAGAATTCTCCAATGTCCAGCGAATAATTTAAAGTCCGCTTATCTCGAGATGCTAATAAAAACAAAAAAAAATAACGCTTAGCATTTAATTGAAAACCATTCAAAGGTCAACAGAAAAATTTGTAAATCCAGTTTTTTTTTTCAGTTATATGTTTTTGTGTGTGAAATTATTTGTTTTTTTTAGCAGTGAAACACTTGAACCTTATTGTGGTTATCACTTGACGAAGTATTTGCACACAGGGTATTCATAGAGCAACCTAAGCTTGGCTGTGGTCATCGAGCGGCGGCGTTACGGAAATTATTGAATTTTTATTCATCGGCAAGAAGAAAATGAAAACAAATTGGAAAAAAGAGTTGGTGTTAGTGCTAATTGTAGCAAAATTAAATCAGCATTTGTGCTGATGATGATGAATTTATTCGCGTAGAATTACAGTAGCAGCGTTTTTTTTTTTTGTTTTATCTTTGTTAGAGTTCAACGTCTTTTCGACACTTCAAAAACAAATTTTTATTTTTCTTATCGATTTTTTGCGGAAGAACTATTTGCGTAGTTAATTAGTTACGTTAGTGGATGATGATATAAAAATCAAATCTAAGAATTCTGTAGGGTCAATCACCGAAGTAACAACATCCGCGACAAGGCCAAAAAGTAAACTCAAAGTTATGCCAATTAATATATACAATTAATTAATGATTCAAGGTCTTTGGTGTCTTCGGTTGTCAGCGGATTTTAACCAAAAAAAAAAGAAGTGCTACCATATTTTGATTTATAGTTATGGTTCAGTTATAGTTAAGTCTCTCCTCTTCAAACTCTCTAAGGGTTCGTTGAATGCAACAACTCAGTGTGAGGGCTAGAGCCGTACCAGGGAAATATAATTATTCACATGTATATTGAAGCAGAGCCAGAAAAAGTTTACTTACTAGTACTTTGAACCTTAATTAATCTTCAGCCTGGAAGTTCACGAAAATATTTCTTATAGCAGCTGATGTTGTCTATCCATTTGAGTTGGCAGATTTGAGGTCCGAAGTTACAATGTTAAATGTTCACTTATAATACTGGATATATAACCTCAAACAAACTCTTAAGTTATTCCCTACGGATTCAAACAAAATATTAAACCATAATATCGATGGCCGATAAACAGCCCCTTACCGAAAGTAACGTTTGCTCAATGACATCCTAAAAACAGCTCTGAGTGTAGCGTAGTTCATAGGCAGATAACTGAGGTATTATTTAGCATAAATCCCTGGAACACCAAATTACTGCTACTCCATAGAAAAATAAAATTTTCAATTGCAAACTTCCTTCCGGCCAACGTTATATAGTTCACTCTAAAAAAAATTGTGTAAATTTCCTAGCTAAAAGGTAGGTTACTGATTTCCTACCTCATTATTCGCGAAATTACATGATCAATTATTCAACGAATAGTTTGTTTAAATTTCGGACTTTTTAGAGTGTAATATAGCTGCTGTGGTGTGCGTAAATTTACTGCAAAGTGTGTACAAGCTACAAAATACACATCTGCTGTTTGATTTCACCCGTATAATTGTGTAAAGCCGCTAACAAAAATGATTTTTACACACGAAAATGTGTAAACGAGAAAAATACATATTCATCGTTTAAATTTACCAAAAAATTTAAAAAATAAACAAAAATATACTCGAGTCGCATTTTTAAACAGATTTTTTAGAGTGTTGGTAGTTCATAGCTACTCGAAAGCTGAACTGGTTGCTAAATCCACTATTTTTTCATTGTCTCTTCTCATGTTAAAGGGCCAGTTGTGGTCCGAGGCGTCGCCAAATTTTCCGATGGGGGGGAAGTACAGGTACTCATTTTGCTTTTCAGAGTCCTTAATTAACAGCCGTAGGTGCGAAAGGGGCAGCGAAAGGGGCAGCAAGGATTCCGTTCAGATTTCGAAAGAATTTTCGGAATGGGTATGCGTGATGCTGCCAAGTTGGATCTCGAATATTATTCGGAGCCTATAATCAAGAAATTTTTTCGCTTGTAGAGAAAACTGATGGTCCTAAGTCGGGAGGGGGATAATCAATTACAAATCGGTACTGAAAGGACTACTTCGAGGTGCTAGACTTAATTTTAAAAGAATTCGAAGAAAGTGCATTTTTCAGGGACCGTAATAATAATTATGTTTATTTAATCATTCAGTTTTATTTTTCCACTTAAAACTTGTAATTATTTATAATATACATATATATATATTTATTTTTAAAATGTAAAAGGCCGTACAGGCGCAACGAACTGAAATTTTGACTTCAAAATTTCGAGACTTATTTCTTTTATTAAGGTGTCGCAGCCTCTGAAAAGGAAATGTCGGAAATCACGATAGTAATGCTTTTACATTTTTTGAATAATAATTATTCTTAAGTAAAAAAATATAATCCAATAAAAATTATTATTTGTTATTTGTAAGCGAAAAAATAAAAAAACCAAAAATTATGATAATTTTTTAGAGAAAAAAGTACAACTTTAACATTAATTATTGTTTGTAATTTTATGGGTCAAACTCAAAAATTAAAACCAAACCGGTAGAACGTACGACTACAAAAAAATATGGGAATATTGTTAAAATGGTTTTACAACGCTTAAAACATGTTAATTTTTTTGGTTGAAATTTAAAAAAATTGTGATTATTTACGGTCCCTGGCACTTTTTGCCAGACAAAGTTGGTTCGACGATTTGCAACGATCAGCAACACCTTTGACAAAAAAATAATTGCATTCAGTTGAAGAATTGTATACCTTTATGAAGCATCACCTTTAAAGAAAAAATGGCCCATCTCGGGATAAGGTTTTTTTTTTTAATAAAATGCCACAGATATGTGTGTGTATATGTATGTTCTTGTCGTTTGTGTTTGCCTGCGAAAAAAAAAAATACCCTAATCATAAAGTACATAAGATCAACGCAAACGCTATCAGATTTCCTATCCTATCGTGATACTGAATAAGGCTGTAAAAATGCTTGACAATATAAAAAAAAACATAATTGCTGGCGGCTATAATTGCAGATCTGTGACGTGTGATTAACACCAATAAGCGTCAATGTTACGAGGCAACTAATCATAATTTGCTAACACTGTATCTGTAAATATTTATATGGCAGCTGGTAATGTCCATATAACTTGACTGCTAAGCAATCAAGGTGGAGATGTTAGCTTCTAACTATTTATGAAGAGTAGTATGTGCAATGTAAATGTAAGAATCGCATTGCCGATCAAAGGTATGTAACTACATACGTGTTCAAAGTCTAGTTTTTATTTACTGTATGTATGTGCACAAATATAGTTTCTTAGTTAGACTTTTTCAAGGCTAATGGACAGGCGACACGTCTTGCTCATTTTGTCGTTTTTATAAGAACAAACATTCGCCCAATGAAAAAAAAAAAAAAAAAGTTCGCGAAAAATAAGTTGTCGACAACCAAAAATTTAGCAATTTTTTTTTTTTTTTTTTTTATTGCCAACATCAAATTTAACTTAACTCAATTTATAAGTGAACACTGTTCTTTATTATGCATACATACATATGTATGTACATATATATTACTTTCTCTGCGTCATTTCGTTATGCAATCCAAGCTATTGCAAACTGGATAAGATTCTTTTGCTGCAAGCTTTTGTGTTTATTTATCTGTCTCTAGTCAGTGAAGCATAATTAATAACTCGAGTCTAAAGAAATTAAGTATTTTTTGGTTCCTATTATAATTTTATTCAAAAAACTAGTTTTCTAGTTGCTTGCCAGTAGTATTTTCGCTTTTACTTATTAACTATTAATTTTTGTGTCATTATTTTCTAAAAAAAAAAAAATGATTGCTCAACTGCAATTTTTCATCTTATGTATTTCTACACAAAAAATATTTTTGACAAGACATCGAATGCTTTTTTTACTTGCCATAAAATATATATATTTGTTTTTAATTCTAATGCGCAGCTCAGCAAGTCGTTTCGTTAAAACCTGGTTCTATTTCTGCAGTTTTTTTTTTTTTTTTTGTTATTGGAGATTATTATCACGAATGTATGGTTTGTGGCTCCATCATTATTTTCCAACTAGTTCTTCTACATTCTCGAT